GGAAATTAAACATCAGGAAAATTTCTAAGCCACAGGGAACGAAATGGTTAACATAATGAGAGCAATTTAATCTTTTATCAATTTTTTTTTTTTTAATTTTATCTTCTTATCACGAGTTAACATATCCTATAACTTAAATAAAGATGCAATTTAGTCCTTTATCAATCTAAGCAATTGTGCAAATTTTTGCATCATGGTTTCAAGTTTTTCTGACTTGCGTACTCATTTTTCAAACTGCAGCTTCTCGAAGAGCTTAACAGAGGAGGTTTGAGATCAGAAGGGGAGGATGGTATGTTAGCCAATCTTCGGTGTGAAATTGCACACTATTGTCTTGTAATATTCAATGTCGAACGTTATGCTTATCCAAAAAATTTATCATCTACCATGACAATAATAATGTCTCCTTTTCTATTCTATCTTTTTTCTCCCGAGTGATCCTTAATACTTCGGAAATGAGAAAATAAGAGGAGTAAAATAATTAAGAGCGCATTTGGCTTAGGATCTTTTGCAACTATGTGAAGCACAGAATTCCCTTCACATGGTGCACTCGTTTAAGCATTAAGGTCATATTTTTTCTACAGAGTATCTATCAACTTTAAAAGAATGCTATTGGCTATTACATGATAGATTTCTTGTCCTGCAAGGCTTGGTTGAGTAATCACGTGATTATTAACTTTTGTCCTTTTCTTTAATGTAACTTATTTTATTGGGTATTTTTGATTGCAGAACTTGAAAATACATCACTTGGAAAATCGATCAGATATTTCAGGTCATCATTTTTGCGGCCTCTGCTAAAATCTTGCAAGGTACATTTTGGAATCGAAACGGTATTTGCAATTTTGGTTCAAAACTGCACTTTACCCAATTGAAATACTGGATGCATATTGTTGTACCATGTTACTGATTTATATGCACTTGAGCTTTATTCAACTGTCTTAGTACATGTGCATGTATTTTTTAATGAGCACGTTCAAAATTTTCTTAGTGTGTACACCTATTTCTTTGGGTCTGACTAAGGAAATAGGGTAAGCGGTGTGCCATAACTCTCCACCAGCATTCTCTGGATCTGGTTAGACCTCCCTCCGAGGGGAAATAACTTCGTAGGGTACTATGATAAACTTGTCTCATGTAACAGCTTAAACTATTATATAAGAAACAAAATTATTTATTTATGTTACATCTTTAACATGCTACTTTAGAGCTATATGGGCTAAATTGACTGGTAGAAAAAGACTGACCCCATGCAATTCACTGGAAGGCCCAAGTTGGATTGAATAATTGTAGCTTTTTCACTGACCAAAATAAGTGATATAATTGAGCATTATACCACCTTGTTCCTCTGCAGGAGGAGATCGAAAGTTTTTATGCTGCCAAAACTCAGCAGACGAAGAACTCCTTGAGCTGGTAGCAAAATATAGTCGACTTGTCTATTTCTGTAGTCCTTTCTAAGTTCACCCATTTGGGTTGGAAGAAAATCAAATGGAGTTGTATTTATGAAATTATTAGGGAAAATACAAAAGAAAAGGCAATGGTTGGTGAAAAACAGCTGTGTGTTTTGTGTTTTTCTTTCCGAAGGGGAATTCATGAAGGCTGTGGTGAGTTCAAATGTAATATTATATTTAAGTGAGATGCATAGGATCAAATTAAATACAAATATGGATTATGATGGCAGGCTTTTCCTTTTCGAGATACTAGCTTACCCTTTTATTAGACTATTTTTTGTGCACAAATCTCGTGTTATAGTTTGTATTTCTAGTTTTGCAAGGTTTGCTAGTTTCCCTCGTGTTGCTAGCATCTTGAAAATAAATCAGGAGGTAAGAATTAAATCGAGTTTTTTAATTGATCCGTTGTGTTGTCATATTAATACAGGTGGATCTAAGGCGTATCCAAACAATGGCCAGCTTTACTGACTTTGTAGACATAGATATTGATAGATTTAGATCGCTAGGTGGGAGATAGGATTACAATCTCTATTGATACTTTATGCACCACTTGTCACCTAGGTATTAGCTGGGAAACGTGGCCATATTTGCTTTCACATATAGGTTGGTTCTAGGATTGCTTGACTTAAACTTTAGCTGGGAAACGTGGCTCTATATATATATATATATATAAATTTTGCAGCATAAATATTTGTTGAAGTAAAAATAAAAAAATAAAAATACGTAGTGATGTGTGTGAAGTGTTTATTAACTATTATGCATATACAAATGTGTGATTTTACCCTGATGGTCTGAGAAATCATTCATATAATACATATCAATTTATGGAATATACACTAGCCAATATGATGGTAAAAAATGTTATCCTACATTGCCGGTAGGTAAATGGGTGGAAAGATATTTATACGATCATTATATTGAAAAAAATAAGATGAAAATACACAGGATGTGTGGAAAGAGTAACATTGTCTAACCACGGTTTCATATCAAAGCTAACAACAATAAGTATGTGAGATTGAAAATGTGTTATACATATTAGACTTGCGAAATGATAGTGCTTGAAATCAGACTGTATAATTCCTGAACTCTATTATACTCAATATAACATGAATAAATACCATCTTGCAAAAAGGATTTTCACACGTAATTCGAGGGAAAAATGGAGAATGTATAATCAAGAAAATCGAACTATAACGGGTTGTTATTTTTTGGGATCGATAAATGGATTTTTGACTATTTTGAATATTGAAGAATAGAGAAACTAAGGATTTTGATTTCCCTTTTAATAATGGTGGAGATGTAATTTGGGGATCAAGTGCGTGATTTTGGGTTAGGTTGGGTGCATGATAGGGCATGTTTGATTGAGTAATATTAGCGTGCCAGCACCCATGCACACACACATATAAGAGGGAAATAATATTTTAGTTATTAATTTCACTGTATAAATTACAATATTGATTTAAAAAGGATGAAATGTAAAATTTGAATATACATATTTTTTAATGTACTTGGTGAAATTTCAAGTATAGCTTAACACCAAGAGCATTGATTAATACACTCATTAACCTTTTATTAATCGTATTTTCTACGTGAAAATGGATGGAAATTCATTATGACCGCATCTTTGGCTAATTCAACATCATCTTCTTCAGTTTTCAACAATAATTTAAAGTTTGTGACTGCATCTCAACCTCGAAATCTTTGGACCGCAATATTGTACATCTTGGAGGCTCCGTCCCTAAAATCCCATACTAAACAATTCTAACCAATTTCTCCACCATCTATGCTTGCTGCTGGTACAATTTTTGCCATGGCTAAGGAGTATCTACATGGCTTTGTCATGGCTGTGTAGAGTAAAATGTGAGAGCCTTTCGATCAGCTCTTGTTTGAGCTTCAACTTTCTCGGACTCTTGCTATCACCGACGTTTTCTTTCCTTGGAAGGCTAATATAGCTTGTAGAATGAATAATCTGGTGGCTTCATTTTGGCCGATGCTTGCATTGATGTTTTCTTATATTACCATTTCAACTTCTCGTTTAGCACAACGACCACCGAACAATTTAGGCAAGACCAAAAGTAGTTTTTGTTGTCTGTAGCCAGCTAGTAACTTTGTTACCTATAGTATCAAATTCTCTTTTTTGAAAGCTAACTAACATTTCTTATTTTCTTCTAGGATTTATTTGTTTCTTCCTTTCAAGCACTACAAAGAGAAGCAAGGCTAGGTTTGCTACTTGTACATTTTGTTTGACATCATTATTGACATTGTGCTACGCGTCGGCACATGATTGGACAGTTTTTGAATTTAACACACTTACCCGCCTAATTATTTTTGAATTTTATGTTTTGTCCAAAGGCTTGATAATACTTTATGTGTGTTTTAAACTGCTGATAAAGAAGTATACTTTCAATACATTGAAAATGTTGTAATGTGAGATGGTGATCGGCGGAAAACTATACGAAATGTTAGGCAAACAAAATGGATAGTATTATTTTGATGTTTGTCACTTTTTTTTTGAATTTGTGTCACTTTTTTTGAATTGTGTTAAAAAAGTGACAATTTTTATTTTTTATTTTATAAAAAAGTGATATTCTGTCACTTTTAAATTTACACCGTATTTTTTACTTTAAAAAAACTTATTCTTTTAGATTTTGTCACTTTTTTGAGTTTGTAACCTTTTAAGTTTTTGTCACTTTTGTAATATTTGTTACTTTTTTATCTTCTTAAAAATGTGACATGATGTGGATATTTTCCTAAACTGGATGATCCAAATCTATACAGGAGAGGGGCAGACCAGATTATTAGGAGATGTGTGCCAGAGGATGAGATGAAACCTATCATTTCACGGGTTCACGCTTTGGCTTATGGAGGACACTTTGGCCCCACTAAAATAGTAGTAAAGGTGCTTCAATGTGGTTTCTTTTGACCTACACTGTTTAAGGATTGCCACAGTTTCTGCAGGTCATGTGATAAATGTCAGAGAACAGGTAACATATCAGCGCGTCACGAGATGCCACGTAACAACATTTTGGAGGTGGAAATATTTGATGTCTAGGGGGTTGATTTTATGGGTCCTTTTCCATCATCTTATAACAATCGGTACATCCTAGTAGCAGTGGACTATGTCTCTGAATGGGTAGAAGTTAAAGCATTGCCTACAAATGACGCAAGGGTGGTGGTGGACTTCATAAAGAAACACATCTTTAACCTCTATGGATCACCTAGGGCCATTATAAGTGATAGTGGAACTGACTTCCGTAATCGGTTATTCCAGGCAGTGCTGCATAAGTACGGGGTACAACATCGAATTGCCACCCTTTACCACCCTCAGACAAGTGGACAGGTGGAAACCTCGAATAGACAATTAAAAAGAATTCTGGAGCTCACTGTGAATGCATCTCGCAAGGATTGATAAAAAAATTAGACGATGCTCTATAGGCATATCACACTGCTTACAAGACACTTATTGGGATGTCCCCATATTGACTAGTCTTTGGAAAAGCATGCCACCTATCAGTGGAGTTTGAACATAGAGCATACTGGACATTAAAGTAGTTAAACATGGACCTCGAAAAGGCTGAAGAAATAAGAATATTACAGCTACATGAATTGGAAGAATTCAAAAGAGAAGCATATGAGAATGCAGTCATCTATAAGGAAAGGGCGAAGCAGTGGCATGACAAGAACATCAGGCAAAGAATTTTTAGAGTGGGAGATCAAGTGTTTTTATACAATTCCAGACTTAAACTGTTTCCAGGAAAGTTAAAATTTAGATGGTCCGGCCCTTTTACGTTCTTTCAGGTGTTTCCCTACGGCACAGTTGAATTACACCATCCAACAAAAGGAAACTTCAAAGTAAATGATCAACGTATCAAGCACTACGTGAAAGATTTTTTCACCGCTAGAGAGAGCATTGACCTAGCCGTACCATAATAACAATGGTATAAAGTCTAGCTAATGACTTTAAAGAAACGCTTATTGGGAGATAGCCTAATTTTCAAATTTTTTTTTATTTTACTTTTTATATCGCATAGCATATTCTTTTGTTTTATTTACTAGGTTGCATTAGATTTAGGCATGTTTCAATTTTTAGGAGTCATCACTCATATCCCTTCTGCCCTCAGGCCTTTGAATTTATTTTTGGTTATTTTGATTGTTTGAGCTAAGTAACTCTTGTTCCTTGTATTTAATTTGACAAATTTGATTTTTCAGGAACATGACGTCGTGAAACACTCAAACCAACATAGATCCAAGGGAAAGCATGATAAATAATATTATCTAGCCGTCACACATAGTGCCTCACACATTCAATAGAAAATTTTGGGGAGTACCTTCTTCCTATTCTTCCCTACCCCTTTATGTGCTTATTTATGTTTTATGACATTGAGGACAACGTCAGTTTTAAATTTGGGGGTAAAAAAAAACAAAAACTAAGTTTTTTTTTTTTTTTGTATGTCTTTATGTTTGTGTTTGTTTGAAAAAAAAAAAAATCCCTTTTGTTTAGTTGCGTGCTTGTGTAGGTTAGACAATATGACAGACAATGATGATTTAATTTGAGATTTGGTGTTGATTTATGAACTGTGGATATGATGCATGCTAGACTAATTGAAGCTTAACCTCACAAAATTTAATATTACAATCGCACTAGAATTGAGTTTGACATTGTAATTAAATGAGTTGTTTCTTGCTTTTGATAGGTTGATCTAATTGGACATAGATGCTTCACATAAACTATAATAAATTATTTATCCTTAGACCAAAATAACACATTTTGGAGGTGATTTTACAGTTGTAAAAAGATGCGGATGTGAATGTGGGTTCTTGTGTGAAAAATTTATGTGTGGATTGTCTTAGACTAACATAATAAAACTCTGCCAAAGTCTTAAGTTAAATGTCCGTTTGCTTGAATAAGAGTGTGATAAAGGGCATTGCACTAATCAAGGTATATACATTTGAAAAATTTTAACTTCTCTTTGAAGACTTTATGACTCGAGTGATTAAGTTTGTAAAGGTATCTTAAAATCTGGTGCCCTAAAGTCGTCTGACTTGGGAGTCATCAGCCTAAAACCTGTTACAAGGGTCATTTAGAAAGCAATTAGAGATGAAGTTACACTTGAAAAAAAAATGTGTTCTCTTCGAAACCTTTTTTACTCGAGTCAGTAAGCATGTAAGGGTATTTAAAAACCTGGTGCCTTAAAATCATCTGATTTGGGAGTCATCGGCTTAAAGCCTACTACAGGGGTCATCTAGAAAGTTTAATGGAGAGAATAAATATATAAAAAAATACTTGTGAAAAACAAAAAAAGCAAGTGCATGAAAAGAGCAAAAGCACTAAATACCTTGATTAAGCCCTAACACTTATTTGAGAGAATTCGACTTTTCATACAAGATAATTAGCTAGTTAAGTCTTGGAGGTCGAAGCAATCAAATAATTGAAGAATTCATTGTTTACTGAAGTGTTGACTTGCAACTAGTATCGTCCAGCTAAACTCGAGAGGGTGAGGATAGTAATGAAATTTTCAGCCTTAGATCACACACTAGAAAAGAGTGAAAAAGAATAAGTTTGGGGGTGTGTGAATCTTATGAGTGATGAAAGGACATATATGACCATTAAGGGTCTGGAATTGAAACAACTTGTGCAGTCATGGTTGATTACTCGATTCTTCACACACATGTCAATTTTTGTACTGGAAGAGTGGATATTAGTTTAGTACTGTGACTTTGAAGCATTTTATAGAGTAAACACTAAATCTTGAACCTGAGGTGAGAAGCTAGATTGTCCAATCGAATATTTTTGCATACTTGTGTGTTAGTTATTATTTACTAATAATTTTGTTTGAGCACAAATAAATATTTAAGTTTGAGGGTATTTGATAAGTGTATTTTATACACTTATTCGGTACCTTAAAATAGCGATATTTGATGGTCCTTTTAACAAATTATATCCTAAATTTTTGTCTTTTATGTTTAATAGGTGAAATTTTATGAAGGAAAAGGAATTGAAGGAATGAAGGCAAAAAGAGCAAAATTCAAAAGTTGGGGACCAAGTTGTAAAAATTCAATTGTTGATTCTGACCATGAATCGAAGATTGAAGAATTTGGAGATCAAATCCCATATTTTGGAAAGTGAAAGCCTTGAATTGAATCAATGAAGAAATGTGTTGCAAGAATAAAAGGGCTCAAGGATTGAATTGCATTATTTTGGAAGATGAAGGACTTGAAAAATAATTTAAGTAATGATGACTTAAATTGGTGGTTGATTGGACATCTACATCCATCCATGAATTAAAAATCTTTTTTTAAGTGAAAAGAGTCATTTGGTTGGTCAACTATTGTGGGCTACTAGGATATATAAATTAAATACGAAGTGGGAATTAGAGAGAGAGAAGTCTTTTGTGAGTCAACTATTGTGGTTGCCAAAATTTTCTTTTGATATATATATAAAGGTTGAACTCCAATCTTGAGGGTTCTTATCGTCCCATCTCTAGAGCTTTGTGAAGAAGGTAAATCGCGGGATGTGCCCTAACAGGTCAGGGAACAAGAGCTGTCTGTACACTGCGCTTACAAGGAGTCCAATTCCATGTTTCAGGAATCGAACCCCCACACTGCGACTGTCAGCAAAACGTGAGATAACCTCACTCCTGTCCTTTGCACCACCGAGCTATGCTCCGAGAGGCCTTTTGATACATATATACACACACGTACAGATTGAAAAGGGGAGAGCAACCAATTTTATATTTT